GCTGGAAGGGTAGAGAAGGGGGAGGGGTGGCTGGATCAGCTGGGGGGGGTTCTTCCTGTTGATCCTAGCTGGTCTCTGCAGCAGCTCCAAAGGAGGCCTCAGCTATGGTGGCCTTCTGTCTTTTCTGCCCCCCAGGACGGCTGGCCCAGATGGGGGACTGCCTGGCCGGCAGCAACATGGGAATCGCTTTGCATGGGGAGCAGGAGTGGGGGGTGGGGGCGGTTAGGATTAGGGGTCAGGAGGGAGGGAGGGAGGGAGGGAGGGAGGCCTCCGTGGGCTCAGAGATGCCCATCTTGGGAAGGGGGCTTTTAGTCGCCGGGGAACCCAGCCTCCCCACTAGAGAACCATCACCTCGTGTGCAGGTCAGCATCACTAACTACCCCTCCTAGAAGCCACAGCCGAGGGAGGGGCTGATGGGGCTGAGCGGAAGGAAGTGGGCACCACCAGGTAGATTTTCCCATCCATCAAAAGGAGGCTTTGGTTGGAAGCCCCCCCAATGTTGACTGGCCTTTCTGATTGGGGGCCGGTGCAGGGCAGGGCCCCCTTCCTCCTCTGGCCCACTGCCTGGGTCCCCCCTGGCTGGTTCGGACCGAGGTCGGCTGGTGGGCTTCAGTGGCCGGTGTGGGGCGGCCTGGGGCTCGGCTGGGGTTAAGCAGAGGTTGGAGGGCTCGGGGCAAAGGCCGCTGCTGCTGCTGCTGCTGAGACTCTGGCCGTGGCAGCTGGTGGTTCCTGCGGGAGAGGCCGGTTCCTCCTGGGAGAGGGTACGGGGGCCGGCTCAGCCGCAGATGGCTGGAGCATCCCTGCAAGGCCGGAAAGCAGGTGCCCCCCCCCATGAAGGGGCTCTCTTTCTGCCCCTTCATGTCCAGTCAGACGGGGGAGGGGGGCTTGGAGGGAGGCCATCCTCCTGTCTTGCCCTGCTCCGGCCTCCTTGGGGCTCCTGGCAGTGCCCAGAAGGGGCAAAGTCCACAGATAAAGAGCCAAGCGGCTGCTTCCGCCTTCTTGTCCTGGCCGTGGGTGAGTGTGCGTAGGGGACGCCTGCCCCGTGTTGGGCAGGAAGAGGGAGTCTTAGAAGGGGCCCTGGTTGGCCCCTTCCATGGGCCTCTGCTGGGGAGGGACGGGGTCTGTCCCGGGGGTGGAAAAGCCGGTGGCCCTGGAGGGAGGTGGAGGGGAGGGCTGGGGGTCTTGTGGCACCTTCAGGTGGAGCCCGACTGTTGGGGGGATGGGGAGAGGCCCCGGGGTGCTGCTGCTGCCCCCACTCGGCACCCCTTGGCAGGTCTTGGCCCAGCCCCTGTTCCTCGTGGCCTGGGAGATTCTGGGACGGCCTCTGTCCCTCGGTGCCCCTCCTTGGCTCTCCAGGTTGGCTCTCCAGGTGGCCTTGGCCGGAGGCTGCTATGGGTGAGCTCTGGGCCGCCCCACCCTTGCTCCGCTCCCACTGGCTCTTGACCTCCATCTTGCTGTGAGCAACGCCCTCCACCCCCTTTCAGCCCTCTGTTTACACCCAGATGGCTGTAGAAGCTGACCTTGGGGTTAAGGTAGGGGGAGGCTTGGGAATCCGGAGGCTTCGCCAATCTTCCCTCCCGCCCGCTGTGGTGGGATGCGGTTTGGATCTGGCTTCTTGGGATAATGGGGAGGGGGGTTCAAAAGAAGGGGTGCTTTTAAGGGAATGGGGGGGCTTTGGTGTTCTCAGCTTGTGCTTAATTGAACCTCACATTTGTGGCCGTTTTTGGTGCTTATGAGAAGCGATCCAAGGCCAAGCCCCCCCCCCCTCCTCAGCCTCCTTTGGGGGGAGAATGTTTTGTGTGTGGCTGGGGGGGCTCTGCTTAAGGATTGGATGCTGGAACCAGACTCCTACGAGCAGCCTTTGCCCCCCACCTCCATTTCAAGCTTGTGTTTCTACAGGTGTCCTTAAAGGTCACCGTACGTACTTAGATATTCCACTGGTTATGCTTTGCAATGGGGCCTTTTGGGGAAGTCGCACTCCTGGGTCAGCTGAAATCACGCCGCCTTCTGGGTCTTACCTGGAGCTGAGAGGGGCAGCCAATTGGTCTCGGCTCAAAGGGCACCTCCCTGCCGGCATCCTTGTGCCAACTGCCCCCCCTCGCCCGATTGCTGAGCCTGGGCAGGCCAAAGAATTGAGATGTAAATGGGGTTGGGGCTCAGCTTCTCCCATAACTGGCACCCTTGGGCGGGGGCTGGCTGGGTGCAGCAGGAGGGCCTTTCGAGGGGCCTTGCAGGAAGCCCATCCCTGGGGTGGGTGCGGGAACTCGGGGAATCCCAAGCCGAGCGGAAGGTTCCAGCCTACCCCCCCCCCCCGCTTTGAAGCCCCCCCGCCTCTCCTCCTCGGGCACGCTTGAAGGCGGCCCATGTGCCGAGTGCCCGCCCTGCCTCAGCCTGAGCATCTAAGAAACATCATCGGTTGGAAAAGCCCAGTGGAACCCAGGAGTGCAAAGCCAGGACTGAAACTCACGTGGGAAAACCCCAAGTGAAAATGTTTCCCTCCTTAGGCGCCCCCCCCTCCAGTCAGTTTGGAAGAAGAGCCCCCCCCCCCCCCCCCCCCCCCCCCACCCGCCCCTGCCACCCACTCCCCC